ACAGACAGACAGACAGACAGACAGACAGACAGACAGACACACACACAGACTCACACAGACACACTCACACAGACTCACACACAGACACACTCACACAGACACACAGACACACACAGACTCACTCACTCACAAAGACACACACAGACTCACTCACACACACACACACTCACAGACATACACACACACAGACTCACATGCATAACATTTCTACACATATAAACACAGGTGTGTTCTGCAGGTTCAGCTGACTGAAGCCGGCGGTGGGACGCTGCAACACACTCCCGCCAGGTCGGTCCGTCAGCAAACACTCTCTGTCTTTATGCGGGATTGTGTGTGTTGTGAAAACTCTCCTGAAGATCATGCGTTTGATCTGAGATGTGTTTGTTAACCGGTTTAATGTGTGTGTAGTTCAGAGTACATCTCTGTGCTGAGCGAGTCCAGCGTGTCTCCGTCAGAGAACATCTACGAATGTGAATTTGATGAGGACTTTGACCTCGATGTTCCCATCGGTCAGTGCACAGCGCTCTATGACTTCGACGGTGAGCTGCTCTCTTTTCTGCACTCCTTTGGTGTTCAGTAAACACTGAGAGATCGGTCCGGTGAGCATCTCTGTGTGTGTGTGTGTTTCAGGCAGCAGCGAGGGCGCCGTGTCCATGCATGTGGGCGAGCAGCTGAGTCTGATGCAGGAGGATCAGGGCGACGGCTGGGTCCGAGTTCAGAGAGCCAATGGAGACGTGGGATATGTGCCGGCGTCCTACATCCAGATCATCTAGAAACAGCTGATCGCGTGTTTTACGGGAGTGTGAGCTGTGCTCATGTGACTCCATCAACTCTTGTGCTTTTATGTCATGGGGAGTGTTTTTACTTTTTGATTTCTTTCTTTTCTCTCATGCATTATGCTGCTTCTGGTGATTTCCTGAACATTTGTAGTTTTAAAATGGTTTTTCGTTGTCTTTTTCTGCTGCGTTTGTTAATTATTGCATGTAGAAGCCTTCAGCTCTGATTGTTGTAACTTCATGATGCATAAAAACAGTCAAGTGTGTCCAAACTTGTGCTGAATGATTGCCATATTTAATTTAAATATCTGTTTAACCCAAAAAAATGATAACTATAACGACATCTATATTAGCGTCCACGTCATCGGATGATATCAACAAGTGCATCCGCCACTTTAAATGCTTAAATGCCATGCACATGAACAACAGTCAAGGTCAGGATTTTCATTAAATAATACATTACATTTTGAGTAGATTATAAGCCGCCAGAACACTTGGAATATATGACATGGGATCATTCTGTGATATAATGTGGGAAATGATGCCTGAAATTGAAAGAAGGGCTAGAACACCACAGTGTGAGTAAATGATGACTTTATCTGTTTTTTTTTTATTTTGGGGGTGAACTGTCCCTTTAAGGCCCATTCACGCCAAGAATGATCTGTTTATAAATGTTCTGTTTATGAAGTCTGCCGCTTTAAATGTTGTGGTCTTTATTAAAGATGGATTCTGATTTATTGTCAGTGTTTTTATCATTTATCAGCGGGACAAAAGCTTTCTGGAAGTGATTCGAGAATGTATGCATGTATCGTATCGTATCGAATGTATCGTTCCTCAGTGTGATATCGAAGTTGTGTGGACTTCCTCATTCTCAATGTATTAGAACGTTAATTAAAACTTTAAAGGTATAGTTATTGTTCTTGGTGTGAACAGGCATTAAGGTATTTATTTATTTTTAATTCAAACGCAAGGATGTTTAAGTGGTAATGATGTTTCAGATCAGATGTGCCGTGAGTTCGCTGGTTTTAGATGCGCAGGATGTGTTTTGGTGTTTGTCTTCGCCTGCTGGCTACACACAACAGTTAATAAATGCCAATATTTTCAGTCAAAGTGAAACCAAATTCACTCTTTTGCAATTCAGTACATTTTCCAGGGATTCCACGGTGTGTGAGATCATTGGTGCACAGACCTCTAAATGTCATTTTTTTGACTTGCTCCACTGCTATTTTCCTTATATTTTTGCTTATTGTTCATTTTTGACTTTTATTCAGTCCCATCTGACCTTTCTCAATTCATCGAGTAGGCTGTTCACCTAATCCTGACTATATTTGAAAGTAAATCACATGATGCTCTTTCATGTTGTCTGCAAACTAAACAGACTTAGTTTGATATATTTATTTCCATTTGAATCCATTAAGAAATTCAAATATATTCTTTACATATAAACGGTCAGAAATATAGATTTGGCAAATTTCACTCAGGTGTGAACACAATCACAGCTTTAAATCATCATCACTGTAAACAAATTGAAGGTAAAGCATGGCATATTTTCAGCATTAAAATAGAATTTTATAATAAGAGAATCGACACTTCACCTTTACAACAGCATCACGTCTGAAGGTCCTTTATAATCTGATTGTGCTTTGGCTTGGACAGTCTTTCCGGTCTGTTTTAACATTTACTGTAATCTGAATATACAATAAATCACAGGAATATTAAACTCAGAAGTGGGTTCATTCATAGAGCGGTTCAGTTCTCGTGTTTGCCAGCAGAGCTCAAACCTCCGAGCTGCCGTCTGGTTCCAGTTTGTTGGAGAGGACCGTGAGGATCCTGTCGAATTTGGCGTAGCGCTCCTTGCGATCGGCTTTGGCGCCCATCTGTCCCCAGAAGAGCCGAAGGGCGAACTCTGTCTGAAACACCTCCAGCAGCTCCGGGATTGGCTCCCAGCCGGCTGGAAGCAGAGAGCGACAGGTCAGTCGGCCAATCAGAGCACTTTGCGTGTATGTGTGTCAGTGTTGCCAGTTTGGGATTTTTTTTGTTACCTAATTCAGCGACTTTGCCTATTTTTGCTGAAACTTAAATGTGTTTTGGCTATAGGTTGTTGTTTTTTTTAGCAAACATACAGATAAAAAAGAAAGACATTCTATCACTTCTAACTTACTCTCTGAACATTTTACATTTAATTATGTAGTAGGTGAATCAAATGCAAATATGAACAATGACATAACAAATATGCTGATCAGCACTTAGCAACTTTCTCATTGTTGCCGCAACTTGTTTTTAACTTGTTTGTGACAAAACTGCTATTTTGGACATATTTTTACATTTGACTATTTTTGGGCGATTAACAAACAAATAAAAAGTTTTCTAACTAATTTTATGTGTAAATATAGCTTAAAACAAAACACATCTATAAATATGCTAATTTCACTTAGCGACTTTCTCATTGTTGCTATGACTTGTTTGTAACTGGTTTCTTGTGTTTTTTTTGACAAGGAGCCATTTTGAATATATTTAAACATATTTTTGGCATTGACAAACATACAAAATAAAAATTTAGACATTGTGTCACTTTTAACTTTCTGAGTGATCAAAATGCTGAGTTTTACATAAAGAGCCAAAATTATGTAATGAATATGCTAATTAGACATTTAGCACATTGTATATATATATAATTTTTATTTTAATATTTTTAAGTCGTTTATAAGTTTACTTTTTTATAAGACTGAAATCA